TTTGGTGAACCAAGTGATCACCTTTCTTCTTTTTCTCTTCACCAAAACACCTTAGCTTTGTGTGAGTGTGTCTTGTGAGGGTGTGGGTTGCTCCTTGGCTGAGTGGTAACCTCTGTTTGGTGGTGTGTGTTGCTGTCCACCTTGGTTGAGAGGGTGAGAGCCTTGTTCATGCCATTGGAGGCTTCAAGAAGCCATTTTAAGTGTAAAAGAACCAACTTGAGGTGCAGAATTCGTGGTCCTTTTAAGTCAGTGTTGTGGAGCTATGTTGGGAGCTCCAAGCCACCTCATTATTCTGAGTTTTCAAGTCTTGAGGTACACCATGATTATCACCTTTGTATATTCATGATTTTAGCTTAATTAATCCATTAAAAAGGGAAACTTTGATCATTTGAGTTAAAGACTGATAATCTATGTTTAAACTACAATAATAAACTTCTGTTTGTGGAGAAATTGGACTTAGAACCATTGGAGGACCTTTAAAATCGAGTTTATGCAGAAACTACACGAGTTTCTGCATTCTGTCTAAAAAGTATTCGAATACTTTTCGTGAAGTATTGGGATACTTGTCTGTTATTCGAATACTTATTGAAAAGTATTAGGATACTTTTTTGGGAATGACAATATTCGAATACTTTAGTAAAAGTATTGGGATACTTGCTGGTATTCGAATACCTTAGTGAAAGTATTGGGATACTTGGTGATATTCGAATACCTTAGTAAAAGTATTGGGATACTTGGTGGTATTCGAATACTTTTGTGAAAGTATTGAGATACTTTTCTGGGAACAAAAGTATTCGAATACTTATCGAGGAGTATTCAAATACTTTTGCCAAAATTAGCCTAAAATCACACAAAACAAGTTGGAAAGCCTTAAACACCTTGTGAAACCTTGGCTACAAATAATAATGATCGTTTCTGCTATAAACAGACTATGAGGGTGTCGTTTGGTAACTTTGGGCCGGTGTGGACTCTTTGATTGGATTGATTACTTAAGAGGTAAGCTTCTGGTTTTCGGATTGATCTGTTGCTTGTTCCACCGACCTCCATGGGAGGGTGGTTTATATGCATGTATGCTTTTATGAAAATGATATATGCATTGATATATGCCTGAGACATGTTGATATAGTTGTTGATGTAATGTATGAATGTGATGTTAGTACTTGTACGATCAGGCAACAACCCTGGTGTGCAAGGCATAAGGCAGTATCCCTCATGTTGGTAGGTAACAGACGTGTATAAACCCTATCATGTTCCCTGGCCAGTCGAACCGCACTTGCATACATCACATGATTAATGAGTTGTAGTATTTAGCTCGTTGAGCAAGAGATTATACTATCATGATATAAATGCCTTAACATCAACATGCATTGAAATTATTGTTTTTGAACTTATATTATACTTGTAAGTGAGCTTGGGGCGGAAGAGTTCTTGAGGACCCTTTGTCTTACTGAGATTTCTTTTTAGAGATCTCACCCCACGTTTGGGGCACATTTTCAGGTTCAGGTACCTCGGGGGCTGATACCTCGGGCGGCAGGAGGCCGGAGCTTAGTTGACTGTTTATGCATGCTTATGCTGTTATGATTGGATGCTGACATGTTCTATATTTATTATCATGTTAATTGAGTTGAGACTATGTTGGGCTTTGTTGCCTTATTTTGTGAGCATGGAAGCTGTCCATACCACATTGATTAACTATGTTTTATTTTAGAATTGAGTTGTATAATTGTATCAGGATTATGGTCCGGACTACGTGTTGTAGTTTCGTGATTTAGATACACACTTATTTATATTATGAGGTTATTCAGTGTAGATAGCTGTCTATTTGCAATTTACATACAAGCAATATTTTGAAAAGTGATTAAGTAATCAACTTGGTTAATAATAATAACGTCATAATTGAAAGTAAAAAGTTAGTTCCACATTTTAATTAAGCGCTACTTAATACGATGATTTGATAACAAACCGGGTATACACGGGGTGTTACAGATTACACTTAGTGAATATCTCTAAAGTTATTTAACTTTACAAGTTTTCAACTTTACATACTAGTTTACTTCTTATTGGTCCTTTATCTTCACACACACCTTGTCATCAAATAATACAACATTCTAGAACCTCTTCCACTTGCATTAACCGCCCCACAAATGCAAGAGTGACTAGCTTGCTTACTTGTCCAATTAACACCTTTTAGACTTTCAAACTTTTCATTCATTGGTCTATTTGTTCAAGACTTTTCAACCTTAATTCTAATTGGTTGGTCTTCACTTAATTATGACCTTCAAGAATATAAAACATACAAGTCATAAAGACTTCACTCATGCATAGAGATTTATGCAAAGAATTCACAAAGTTAAGTTATGTTACTAATGACAACTTTGACCTAAATCAATTTCTATTGGTTTATTAATTTTCTTACTGTGACCTATTTTTAGAAATTAATCTAGACATTGTTTGATCATAATAAGATCACTTTGAACCTATGAAATTAACTATAGAATTTAATTACATCATTAAAATCAAGCTTTGACTTAACCTTGGTCAATTACCAAACTAATCCTGACTTTTCACATATAACATCTATGTCCCCACATACACTCTATTCTTATATCAGGGTCCTATTAGACTTGTTTGGCGTGAACTGTATTTTTAACTTAATTATCATATCAATTACATGATTTACCGTTTACCGTTTCTTTGAATACGTGTTTAATTCACTTAAATATTTTGTTAATTCACTGTCACCTATTTTGATAGTGAGTGTTGTTATATTCACCCCACCTTTTAAAGATTTTGTCCTCAAAATTAAAACATCTTACTGTTTCAATACTAAGCATAGATAGAAAAATTCATTTCCTACCCCTTTAAATTGCTTAGCTATACCTTTTCACTCAAACCAACATGAACACCTTACCAAATATCTGACTTAGCCCTTTTAATGTTAGTCATTATCTGAATTCATTATGCATTCTATCTTTACAGCTATACACAACTCATCTCATAACATCCTTAACCATATCATTATTAACTTGTCTTTCAGACATAAGGTTTTCAACTTACTTTATAATCATTACTTTTCATTTTTATATTCCCATATTATATAATCCTAGGAATACCATCACAATCTCCGAGATCATAGTCTATACGGAGCACAACAAAATATAGTTATACAAATATCTCATACATATAACCAAATATGACATCCATCATAATCATTGGATAGTCAAGTCAGACAACTCTGAGGACCTCATGCCACTCCAGAGCAACCAGATGAAATCCATAAATTTGGTGCATTTCTGGCGTATTTGACATATTACTTTTAATTTATTTTATTGGCCAACAAATTCTCTTTGGATCATACATGAACCTACTCCATTTGGTGTCCACAATAAATCCCATATATAATGGCTCACAAAAAAATGTGTTTTCTATCAACACTGAGGCATCCCTATAATAGTAGTAGTAGTAGTGTATACGTGATATATATATATATATATATATATATATATATATATATATATATATATATATATATATATATGAGATAAGATCCTTTGATTTCGGTGTCAAATTTAAAGTTTGACACCTCATCTGAGAGCCGTTAGATAAAAAAAGATCAATAGTGTTACATGCTTACAAATCAGAGTCGTTGATCTTTTTTGATCTAACAGGTCTTAGATGAGGTGTCAAAATTTCCCATAACAATAGTGTATATATATATATATGTATTTCATAACAAAGTCACTACACTATCTACTACCACTATCATATCAGTTACAACGCCTACACTACTTTACCAATCAATTCAGTCAATACAATCAGTCAATGTTCACAAACAACATATAGGAATCATAAAATCAGAAACATCATACAATATCCATGTTAACATTTCAAACATCACTCATAAGTACAACACAATTAAGACATCAAACAATCTATTATTACTCATACAATTCAATCATACAGTCAAAAAACTACGGTTTAACCATACCCTACTTTCAAATAATTGTACTTTAACTATAGTAACATAAAATCTATTATCAAAATCTTTATATTAACAAAATTCTTACAGAATCTTACATAATCCGAGTACTACAGTTTCCATGGAAGCTCTCACATATCTTCCAAAATCAGATACTCTCGAAGTAATATCTCCAAGTATCATAGTACTTTTGGATATCTCTTTATTTCACATATCACCATCCTTCTCTTTACTCTCGGATATCTCATTTCTCATAGAAGCATACCTATATTGAGTCTATACCATAATTATCATCTTAGAGAAAGCTTCTCTTATGCACTATCCCATATAACAAATTAAATTATTTTGCATATATTTTAATGTTCTAAAATAAGAACACATGAAATCTTAAATAGTCAAAATACTTGAAATTAAAAAAAATTAAAATTAAAGTCAATTGATTTGGTATAATGATGAAAAATTTGAGTAATTTATATTAAGTTATGTGTTTAATTATCATTTGTATAAATTGTTTTGATTAAAATTGGTTAGAAAAAGTTTATCGTCCTCGAGATTTTCCTATATCAAATTAGATAATCGGATAATTGATAAATGGATAAAAAAATAAAATAAAATTCATAACAGAAAATATTAAACATTAATTGATTGATGAATGAGTGGCTCTTATTATTATATTTTATCTAATTTTAATTCTAAATATATTAAATATTTATTAGGATTTTAACAAACAAACTTTCCCTCAACTTTTAACACTATTAAAAATGAAAAAAGAAACCATAAGCATTCCTGCACAAAGCATCATTAAGAGTGTGGAGACAAAATTCCAAACAAGGCGAGACCTCGGGAAATTACAATCCCCACTAAATTTCAAATTCAACTGCGATCTGATCAGCACCTTCTTTAGCTCCACACCACAACACTCTACAAGACACTAATCACTCCTCATTTTCCCGCAGCATCTCGCTGCGAAACAACACAAACTTAACCATTTACTAATATTGAAACAACTGAACACAAAGCAATGATGTTGCTTCAACTTCTTCATGTAATTTCTTGCTGTCTCTTTTTTTTTCTTCTTCTTCCATTCACTCTCTCTCTAAACTCTGACGGACTCTCTCTCCTGGCCTTAAAAGCCGCCATAGAAGTGGACCCCACAGGGGTGCTCAACTCGTGGTCTGACTCAGTTCAGAGTCCGTGTGAATGGTTCGGAGTGGTCTGCACCGGTGAACGAGTCACCCAACTCGCTCTCCCAGCAAAGGGGTTAAGTGGTTACATACCCTCAGAACTTGGTCACCTCACGGAGCTTAAGAAACTGAATCTTCAACACAACAACTTCTCCAGTGGCATTCCCTCAAGTTTGTTCAATGCAACAAACCTCATGGCCCTCGACCTCTCCAGTAACTCTCTCTGCGGTTCGCTACCCTCTACGATTGCATCTCTCAAAAATCTCATACACTTAGATTTGTCCTCTAATTTTCTCAATGGCTCTATCCCTGACTCGTTTTCGGAGCTCGTTAACCTCGTCGGAGCGTTGAACCTCTCACACAATCGATTCTCCGGCGGGGTTCCGGCGTCATTGGGGATGCTTCCGGTGGCCGTGAGTTTGGACCTCCGGGGGAATAACCTCACCGGAGAGATTCCTCAGGTTGGATCATTGCTCAACCAGGGTCCCACAGCGTTCGCCGGAAACCCTGGCCTCTGCGGGTTCCCGTTGCAGAACGCCTGCCCCGAAGAGAAGTCGCCGGAGATTTTCCCGAGCACGAGAGATGACCCGAACCTGAACCCGAATCCGAAACCGAAAGCGCTTTATCCTCGTGGAGCTTCAGAAGAGAAGGTGCGAGGTGGGTCTTTTGTTGTTGGTGGTGTAATCTCCGGCGTTTTGCTGATGTCTGTGGCGGTTTTGCTGTCGGTGTGGGTTTTCCGGCGACGGCGGAGGTGGGAGGCCGGCGAGGGTGAAATTGGAAAAAAGAAAGTGGAGGGTGAGGTTGGTGTTGGGGAGGAGCAGAAGGGTAGGTTTGTGGTGGTGGATGAAGGGTTTGGGTTGGAGTTGGAGGATTTGCTTAGGGGTTCTGCTTATGTGGTGGGGAAGAGCAGGAGTGGGATTGTGTACAAGGTTGTCGGAAAAGGGTCTTTCTCGACGGCGGCGGCGGCGGTGGCTGTTCGGCGGCTGAGTGAGGGTGATGTCACGTGGCGGTTCAAGGAGTTTGAATCTGAGGTGGCGGCTATTGGGAGGGTTCGCCACCCTAATGTTGTTCCGTTAAGAGCATATTACTATGCAAATGATGAGAAACTGCTCATCACTGATTTCATCCGCAATGGAAGCTTGTACACTGCATTGCATGGTATCACTTCTCACACTGTTTTTTTTTTTTTTTTCTTTCCCTTTTAATTAACTTACTTAGCCTTTTTAATGGAGAAAATTTTTTAATTGGGGAAATTCTCTGTGCAAAATGTTGATGAGAAGCATATATATGTATTGGAGAAATTCTCATGTTTAATTTGGGTCTCTATATATTACTGTGCATTCACATTTTAGTTGCATTTGAAAATGGATCAAGTTGCCTGTGTTTGCTAGATTAAAGTTTTTCCCAAATAGTGTAGTGGGATGAAACCTGTGCTTAGCCAGTTTGCTGGTGATTTGGTTTAAGTGACAGCATATATACCACACATTATGAGCGCACATTGCTGGTGGTTGATTGAGTTCAAATTATAATTTTATACTTTTGACTATGTAATAATGTTGCCATGTGATTGTCGCCATGATGATATTTTACGTATACAGGAGCTGATTTGACAAAACTTTAACCAGCTGTAACTGTCTTTACTTGCACTACATATTTTGTGGGCCACTGGCCATTCTGTCCTTTAGCGAAATATGCTTGATGCTTCTGCACTTGAGAACTGAAACCCCTTTTTAATGGTTTTTGTCCGTGATCACAGAGTCATGCAGGTACATTTTTGGTATCTTCATTATTGTTTCTAGCATTTGTAATGGACATTCAGTCAAATTCATTCAAATGTGGTCCTGCTTAATTTGTGCAGATATAGTGATAAATGCATGAATTTAACTGCATTGTACTGACCCCATTTGAATGGGTGAAAATCCCATAGTTTTCAATGCAATCAGCGTCATTCCCTATTGATCTGCCTCAGTAGATAATGGACCCCCTGGTGATCATTGTCTCTAGTGATTCTAGCCTGCTTCCGCAGGTGCTCTTAAAGCCATTCTCGTGGAGTGTGGTGGTCCTCTATGTGTAAAGATTTTTGTTGTTCTGCTGATCTGTTGAACATTCTATCTCTTTAAGTTATGATTTTGTAAATTAGATGTTAAAAGGAATGGATTTATAACTCTAACATGCATACTGTTATGGTTGAGACTTATGAGGTCTTTGTAACATGCAAGACCTCAAACCAAAATTAATGTTTGCCTTTTCACTTTTTGCTCTCTAATATTAAAAAGTGATTGTTAGGTCATTTTCAGTTTCCATTTTCCTTTTTTAAAAGTGTTGTTTGATGCATTTTCTGCTTTGTATTTGGTGTTTTATGGTTGCAGGTGGGCCTTCCAATTCATTGCCACCATTATCCTGGGCAGCAAGGTTAAAAATTGCTCAAGGAACTGCAAGGGGCTTGATGTACATACATGAGTTCAATGGTAGAAAATATGTTCATGGCAACCTAAAACCAACAAAAATCCTACTAGATGATGATCTCCATCCTTGCATAACCGGTTTTGGACTTACTCGTCTTGGTTTGGGTACCTCAAAGTTTGCCCCATTAGTACCAAAACGGCAGAATTCAAACCAGTCTACCTTAACATCAGCAATGGGTTCAAAAGTTTCAGTTTCCTCTAACAACTACTTGGCACCTGAGGTGCGCATAGCTGGTGGAAAATTCACTCAGAAATGTGATGTGTATTCTTTTGGTATAGTGCTGTTAGAACTTTTGACAGGTCGGTTGCCAGATTTAGGGCCTGAAAATGATGGTAAGGAGCTAGAGAGTTTTGTGAGGAGAGCATTCAAGGAGGAGAAGCCCTTGTTGGAGATTTTAGACCCTGCGCTTTTACCCGAGGTTTATGCTAAAAAGCAAGTTATTGCTGCGTTTCATGTAGCACTGAATTGCACAGAACATGATCCAGAAATGCGACCTAGAATGAGAACCGTGTCTGAGAGCCTTGATTGCATCAATATACAATGAAAAATGATGGGGATCCTTGTAAATTTTGTGTTCATGTGGCTAACTCTGTTTTTCTTTTTTTTTTTGGGTGGTGTTGTTTTTGTAAGATTCTTGGAGTTATGAAAAATTAGATGTAGCTTTTGTTTGATGTATTGACATAAGCTAATGCATTTTCTTTCTCAATGGAAACTGCGTGCCTTCGACATCACCTAAAAGGGAAAGTGATTACTGATGTTGCTAGCTAATGTAAATATTAACCCATATTTTTTTTTTTATCTGTTTCTCTATATATATGCCTGCAGCTCAAGTCATGCAACATAAAGTGCAATGCAACATGCTTGGTAATTTTGATCAATTGAATCATGTACATGTTATAAATTATGTTAACTAAATGAGGTAGAGCTTCAGCAAGCAATTCTTTCATTTCTATATCTATTATCATTGTTAGTGTTGGGCATTTCTAAAGACAAGCAGTTGATATTGCATGTGACAGTACTGAGGAATAGTTAGGAAGCAGTTACAGTCAAAGGCAAAGAAGGGATACACCAGGTTGAATATGGACCACCCTTACAAAAGATTTTGACCATAATAACTATAGAGACAGGTATTTTGGCAATAGGCAGTTAGGCACTTGAGTGTTTTTTTTTTTATCTATTTATTTTATTAAAGATCATATAAGAAGTAATTTTAATCTCCCTAAAATTTCTAATAATACTATATTTCATTAAATTTATTCTTTTCCGAGATAACAAAACTTGACATTATTTTAAGAGCTTTATCAGTGTCCTTTTACATAAGATAGTTATCTTATGTTATAGAGATAAAATGGGTGGGTTCTATCATTACAAGAAAAAAGAAAAAGAAAAAAAAGTGGGGTACAAAAATCGAAGTGAGAGAATATGAGAAAAGTTATTTTATGTGAAAGGAGAGTAATATTTTCCTTATTTTAAACTGTATATGTAGTTTTCATTCGTAATATTAGGAAGGTAGAAGTTGCAGTCTTGTTGATCTTTCTGTTAAACTCTGGTCCAAAAAGTTGATGGAGCAAATTAAGCTCCCTTCTTTCTTTATATGTTTTGTTTGGATCTACCATTGTGCTCTTCTTTCCAAATGTTGTTGGTTACAAGCAGCTGTGACTCCTCTTTTGGGCCGGCCCATCCTATGAATTTTTTTCAAAATTCATATTTGACTATTTTAGGGTGGTTCTCATATATTAAAACTTACAAAGGCTTTTAAATGTGTTTTTCTATAGGGAGTTACGATACTGGAGATAATTGTTTGGTAAGATGCAATATATATATATATATATATATATATATATATATATATATATATATATGAAAAAATATTTCTACAGCCACTTTAGATAAGGTTATCTACAGTTACCTTAAAATTACGTTATTTTGATTAATGAAAGATGTTTTTGTAATTTTAGGTGAATTTTAATGAAGGATGTTTCAATAATTTATATATATATATATATATATATATATATATATATATAAATAATAATAATAATAATACTGGAAATTATATGTATATTTGAAAATTGTTAAATAGTTAGAGTTGTTCAGTCAGATATTTTGACAAAATCATTTGAGGAAATTACGTCTCCTTATTCTTTGTAACCAATTCAAACATGAGAAATAGTATTCTCATTTTACATGAAATTTTTTTTTCATGTTATATACAATACATGAGTGGATCCTATTTTGATTTTTTTGTCTTTTCACTTTTTTGTAGACCCCACGCATGTATTGTGTGTGTAGCATAAGAAAATTTTTTCATATAAAATGAGAAAAGTAATCCCCAACAAACATAGCTATAGTTTTATTTCAAAAATAATAAAAATTAAAATCCCAAAATAATTTGAAATTTTCTTTATACAATGGCTTCCATAAGGTCTCAATGATGTTATATGACTAAGACCTTAAAGCAGATGCACTACTAAGATTTTTCACAAAATTACTTACAAAAAAAAAAAAAAAGATTTTTCACAAAATCTAGAGCGTAAGTTCATAAACTTTTAGCAAATCACAATATGCTTATAAATGCTTAACTTATAATATATTTGTTGAGATATTTAACTATTATGAGTACCGTATTGGTTGATAATAGACTAAGTGAAGAGTATATAAGTGGAAGGACCCATAAAATTAATGTCTTAAGATTTTGGGTTGAGACATCATCCCTGAACCTGTCTGACAATATTGTCTAAAAAATCAAGTAGAAGATTAGGCTGAAAGCTGATATGAGTGAATTTCTATTCTATTTTATATTTTATTTTGTCATGTGGGTTGCAAAATTACTACGTTGTACTTGTATGTATATGATTGTGTAAGGGAACTAGTGCAAACGGTGAGATTTTTTAAGAAAGGAACATGTTATTTGAAAAATTCATGTTCAACAAATAAAGATCAAGAATATGAATAAAGATATTAAGAATTCATAGTTTTCATATTCATATAATTATAGAGAAATATTTTTCTTATGTTGTAGAAAAAAATTATCTCATGTTATAGAAATAATATTATAAGTGGGACCCACAGATAAGAGGAAAGAGAAAAAAAAGTTGTGAAACTCATTCCTCTTTTGTGTGTATAGGAAAATTATTTATCTCATGTAAAATGAGATAAACATAACCCATAATTATATTAAGAATTTATGATGAAAATTGATACTTCAATTTGTAACATCTTATTAATTTCTTGTTATTTCTTTATTAGGTTTCATTCTTATGGAAATACCTAACTTTAATGAGCAGAGAACAAATAGAAATAGTTTCTTTCCTTTAAATTATTTGTAATCTAAAATGCATGACTACATGTATTAAAAAAAAATGCATGACTACTCACATGATATAGTTAAAAAACTTCTTCTTTATACCAAAAAAAAAAAAAAAACCTCTTCCAAAAAATCAAGCTCCCATGACCTTTAACCCTTCATTTTATTATTCAAATCATGTACATTTGTCATTTGTTACACACGAGACATTTATCAGATTCTCCCACTTGTCTTATGTGACAAAATATTATTCAATGATTTAATAAAGGCTAAAAAGCTTCTCATGTCACAAAAAAATTATCATCTTCTACTATTCTCATGTTAAAAAAAGGGCCCATTTTTTTTTTCTTTTCCTAAAAAATAATGAGGCCCAATTTGTTTTTGAGTAAGCTGCAAAACAATTTATTCTACCACTGCTGAAGAAGTATGAAACCGGCTTTAATAAAACATCAATTATAATAGGCTTTAACATTTTTATAATGAATAGATAAGTTATTTATATTTACTCCCAAAGCGACGTTGTTTTGGTTTGAAAAATTAAAAAATTATAATGAAAAAGACTATTATAACCCTGAATCAAATTATAATTACAAAAATACTTTGATTTCTGCCTCAAAATGACATTATTTTGAGCTTAATATGGATAAATGATTTACATTGACTATAAAAAAGCGAACCCATTATAATATGCACAATAAGGTAAAAGTTTTGTAAATTGATTGCACATAATTCATAGTTAAGAATGTAACTAATAAAACTCTCAAGGGTAGCTCATTTTGGGTCCAGATGTGTCTCTCTTCTCGAATAGAGGATTAGTCTTATCCTTCCTCTGATAGCGAAGTTCAATGCACCCACTGTGCCTTCCTCCTCAAATGAGGGATTAGTCTTATCTTTTCTTCGGTAGCAAAGCTCAGTACACCCGCGCTCAATGCATTCGCTGTTCTAATGATCGAAAGAGATTGAACGAAGATATCTCCAAATTATATAAAAAAAAAATGTAACTAATAAGAGTTATGACGATCGTATAACATCAAATCAACATGATACCTTCCATGCTCTGCTATAGAAACTTTTCTCATTAACATGACACTTCAATGGAAAGTACACTTTATATCCAATAATAACATCATTACAGACAAAAGCAGTTTTCAATATAATATTTAGGATTTTATAATTCTCATTTAACATGAGAATTGAAATCTTCCTATACACCCTTTAATTTTCGTGCTAACATGGATTTTACATATAATTTTTTCTAACATATAGGTCTCACATGCTTTTTATCTCTACAACATAAGATTTCAATTCTCATGTAACTTGAGAATTATAAAACACTAATATTTATACTTGTTACGTAAGTTTGAAAATAGAGAATTCAAAGCTAATCCATCAATAAGCTTATTGTAGCGGATGCTACAGAAGAAGAAGAATGCAGAAAGGATAAGAGGAGAAGAAGAAGAAGTTGAGAGAGAAAGAGTCAAGAGATAGATGAGAAATTCCAAATATTTTCTGATATCTTTTCTTAATGGCCACACATCTACTTATACCCATAAGGGTTGTTACAACAGACAACACAATATTACAAACAAGTAATTAAAATAAAGACACTTCTATAAAGACACTATTATAGGGGCACTGCTATAAGGACTGGTTATTAAGATACACTAATTACCGTTACATTCCATCCTCCTTCAGACCAACTTCGTCCTCGAGGTTGAGTTATAACAATACCAGGGTCAAAGATAAAAATACATGCTTTAATCAGGTCCCATATAATCCAAATGATGCAGTCTCGTATGCTAATAATAAAGTTCTCCCATGAAGTCTTGTACAAGCTGTGAGGAGTCAGGAACCTGACCAATGTGGCATACAAAGCAACATTATGATACACCCCAGGGAGCACCAGGCTTCTTAGGAAAGAGGAAGATACAACAAGCAAAATATTTTCCTTCCAAGATTTAACATGTTGCCTCCATTCATCAAGGAAAGAACAGGCCCGAATAAACAGCCTTGAAGAAGCAGAGTCTAAATTGTGCAGTGCGCACTTAAGAGGGAGATTTCTGTGATTCAAACGTGATAACTCAGAGCTATATGCATTGCAAATATCTAGCAATTTCACGCTTGTGTCCAAGTACACATCAATCCATTTGTCATCCCACTCACTCACAGGCAGCTCAAGATCTGTAATAAGCTTTCTCAGCCTCTCTGCCAATGTTACCTCAAAAGCTTGTAATATTGCAAGAAGTTGCGGAGACATGCGAAAGTCTTTAGGTGATATCATCCGAAAAGGAGTTCCAAAAGGGAATAAGGATCGGGGTGGATGTGGATTCTGTGATACTAATTCACCAGCCTTCAGCATCCATAACTCATACAATGTTAATTTTAAATCAAGGCAGCGTTCCTCCTCTAAGGAAATGATTCCAACATAAGGCTTCTGTTCTTTGAACTTGTGCTGCCGCATCATGATTGACAATTTTAAAACAGATGTTTTGGTCATTGCACGCTTGTTCTTCAATCTTTCAGCAGCATCTATTGTAACTTCATTCAATACGCCAAATAAAATAGAGTGTTGTGTACATAATTCAGCCCATACTTGAGGAACATGACTTCTTGTATAAGCCAACATATCTCTACAATGCTCAAGAAAAATTTCGAACATAGCTTGCTTATTAAGGATATAAATGGATTTAGAATTTCCTTCACCATCAATATCCTTAAATGGCTGCACCATTAGCTTCTCTAGCATACCAATAAGAGCATTGTGAATATTATAGGACTCTCCACCCAAGCAAGGAACAATAATGCCAATACTTGTGTCAACAAGGACTGCTTGGGAGGGTTGTGATAGCATAAGATGGACAACATGAGGCTTAATCTTTGTTTGGGTTTCACGCTTGGTGCCAAGCTTAAGAAGAGGGGGATACTCGTCTGAACATGAATTGTAGCCACTCTTGTTACCAAATAGAGGTAGGGGCTGACAAGAATCTTCGATAATAGAGGACCAAATATGTCGTGCTAATACGATTGTCAGGGTTGACTCACGTTCTTGATAATCCATATCAGCAAACACATTGCAGGTATAATGTAAAAACCCACATCTCCTCTCAGTCATTTCATCAAACATCTGGGTTGTACTCTCAACAACTCCAAATCCTCTAATAGCACTAACAGTTTCAAACCCTGGGTTCATTGGACCTTTGCTTCTGTTGGCATAACGAGGAGAAAATAGATTTGAAGCCGAGGAATGCATGAAAAACTTTCTACCACTAGGAAAAACACAATCAATGCAACCTATGAATTTCATCACAGGGTGAAAAACACAATCAAGTTTGGAAAATTTTGCGAGCGAAGGTAACAACGAAAACAAATATAAGCAGATAGTAGAATCTGGCGGCTCCGGCAAGGGAGGCGGTTTGGAGAGCCATCGCAGAAATCGCTTCCCCATAATAATATCACCAGTATTGTAGTTCTCATCGAACCAGATGAAGCCCAAACACAAGATGAAACCGGGACACAGTGTCGTGCAAGGGCGCACAACCCTATCCTCCTCAGGATCTGAACAATCGGTGGTTCCAAAAAGGTTTATCGGTCCCACTCGAGGAGATTCGTCAATGACCGTGTCCAATTCGTTCGGGAGATCACAAATCAATTTTATGGCACAAAACTGTCTTCTCTCAATAGAGGGAAATAAGGGCAGATGATGCAAAAGTAGATCATGCAAAGAGGGATTAAATGGAAGATCCCAGTGAAGGTGGGTTTCACGCCTCACCAAAAATCCACGAAATATCCTTTGAATCCTAGTAGCAGCTATATCTTCTAGATCAACTCGGATCTCATCGGAAGCAGCCCTAATTTTTGCAAAATCAGCTCGTATCTCAGCGCGAACCCTTGCGAAATCAGCTCGCATCTCGGCCCTAGCCATGGCGAAGTCAGCATGCGATTCTGAAAGGGATCGGTCTAATGCATGAAGTGCTACAGAGACAGCATCCCAACATGATGTAATCTTAGGTGAAATTGAAGGGTTAGATTGGGGATCAGTGATTTGTTGTAGAAGAGGATGAATGTTACTTCTAGCTATGGAGGAAGAGTAGCTCGATGAAAGCACCATTGTAGCGGATGCTACAGAAGAAGAAGAATGCAGAAAGGATAAGAGGAGAAGAAGAAGAAGTTGAGAGAGAAAGAGTCAAGAGATAGATGAGAAATTCCAAATATTTTCTGATATCTTTTCTTAATGGCCACACATCTACTTATACCCATAAGGGTTGTTACAACAGACAACACAATATTACAAACAAGTAATTAAAATAAAGACACTTCTATAAAGACACTATTATAGGGGCACTACTATAAGGACTGGTTATTAAGATACACTAATTACCGTTACACTTATAGTATCAATAACCAAATAAATAGGCAATATATTTGTACTTATTTTAAAAATAAATTTAATTTAGTAGAGATTTTTTTAGTATAAACGGAGGCTTCGAGCCCAATCTGTTGGAGTTTTATCACTAATATTTTTTAAAAGAAGACTTTTTAAATCTTTTTAATTTTTACAGACTACTTGTTTGTTATATACATATACATATATATATATATATATATCTATATATTTATATTTATATGAAATAGAATCTTTTGACACCGATGTCAAACAAAAAGTTTGACATCTCATCTGAGAGTCGTTAGATTAAGATAGGTCAACGGTGTCACATGCTTACAAATTGGAGTCGTTAGATCAAGGCAAGATCAAAGACTTTTAGATAAAGTGTCAAAGGATCCTATACACTGGTGTCAAACAAAAAGTTTGACATCTCATCTGAGGGTCGTTAGATTAAGACAGGTCAACGGTGTCACATGCTTACAAATTAGAGTCGTTAGATCAAGGCAAGATCAAAGACTTTTAGATGAATTGTCAAACGATCTGATGTGCGTCTAGCATATGATGCTTTCTAACTTAAAAGAAGTAAGGAATTAATCATAAATGTGTGAAAATAAGTCATAAATGCAAGAAATATTGATTATTCCTTCTCAATCATTCTCTCACTCAATTTATGTGTTTTAATAGCAGGAAACACCAAAAAAGAAGTGAAGGAGAGAAGTGCAGTTTTCCCAGCAGCGCACTTTGCGCGGGACATGGCGCAAAGTGCGTCATTTGATCCAATTCATCCCTGTATCCTGGCCCACAGTGCGCTGGATGTAGCGCATAATGCGCGGGCTTGGCGCACTTTGCGCGGGACCTGGCGCAAAGTGCGCCATTTGACACCTTTCCTTCTGTTTTCTCATGCAAAGTGCGCCAGAGTTGGTGCAAAGTACGTGGCGATACTTTTCAATTTTAATCTGATGCGAATTACTCAAAAAGAAGGCCCAATTGGAGAGCAATTGAAAGTAGGTTTTCTCAAAACCTAATAAAAGGATCAGAAACAGAGGAAGGAAGAACTTTTTGACAACAAGGAAGAGAAAAACAACAAAGAAAGGGAGAATTCTTGGGAGCTTCTTGGAGTTTCAAAGATTCGAACGATCAAGACGAAAGATCTTCATCTTCTTTCTCTTTTTTAGGTTCTGAATTTTATTTTCTTTTATGATTATTTTGTCAGACATGAATATGTCTGGCTAGTTTCATTATTGTGGTAAGGGTCACAACCCTTGATGTGAACCCCTTGTAGTTTGGTTGAAGTTTATGTTTATCTATTTAATTGAATTTATCATGCCTTGTTCTTCATTCTATAATTCTTTTGGAACTGATTAATCTATCATGATTGCGAGGGTTAGGGTTTTCAATAGGGATATTAGAATTCTAATTCATGACAAAGGGTAAGACAACTGTTCATGTATGCACTAGGGATAGGCTACATGAATCGCAAACGTTAAAGATTCATTGATTCTAAGGGTTAACTTGAAAAGGGATTTATAAGGGATTAGGATTCTAATAGAGTTAATAAGGTTAAAGTCACTAAGGAATTAGGGCTTAACTAATAATAGAAAAGATGATGAATCGTTTGATCAATTGAATAAGTAAACGTAAATGTAATCCAAGTTGCAAGGTGGGGATCAAAAAGGTGTTTGTTTCTCTTTACCACAATATTTTCTCAAACATTTTCTCAACCTTCAATCTTTTATTCTTGAATTCTAAAAGAACCTTGAATCATTTACATTTTCTTGAATTGTTCTCAATTATTTCACAAACCACAATTGTTCTTAAACCATTTTTATTAATGCAACAAGAGAGGAATAATTATAATAACTTCGGTGCCTCAATCCTCGTGGAGACGATACTCTACTTACCCTTTTATTACTTGGAACAATCAGTACACTTGCCGACTATTCACAACAAGTTTTTGGCGCCGTTGCCGGGGATTGAATTCGCCAATTTTATTATAACTTTTGATTTTCTTGATTTGATTTTGTTTTGTTATTAATCTTTTTGCTTGAGTTTATCCGAGGTAAAGTAAATCGAGACACTTTACAGTTTGATCCAGAAATCGAGAAAACTGCAAAGAAGAACCGAAAGCTAGCCAAGCAAAGAAAGGAGGAAGAGTCATCGATTTATAAGCCAAACACAGAACCAGTGATGGCAGTTAATAATCCACGTCCAGGAGAGGAATTGACTGAGAGGAATTGATGGAGTCAATTTCGCTCCTCTTTTCATGAGGCCGAACTCTATCATAGTCAGGCCACCGATAGATGCCAACAACTATGACATCCATCCGTCGCTGATTACTTTGGTGGAGAAGAATCCTTTTGGTGGGGAGGACTACGAAGATTCTCATGATTATGGACAGATTTCTGAGAATCTGTGATACAACTAAGCATCATGGAGTGTCCGATGATGCGATAAGACTCCGATTGTTCCCTTTTGCTTTGACCGGGAAACCCTCAGATGGTTAGATCGACATGCTCCTAACAGTATCCGAACATGGGAAAAGTACAATAAGTTGGTGAATGAAATCACCAACTTCACACAACAACCAAGAGAGACCTTATGTGCAGCCTGGACCAGATTTCAGGAGTTGATCAGAAAATGCCCCCAATATGACTTGCCAGACACCAAGAAGGTTAGAGTCTTCTACAATGGAATGACACCAGATTCCAGAATGGTTGTCAACGGTGCAGCCGGTGGAACTATAAGAAAGAAGACAACTGCTCAAACCTTAGAGCTGATTGACTTTATGGCAAGGAATGAGAATGCATCTACGACAGTCCAGCCTGTTCAGCCAAAGAAAGGACTCTTACAACTGGGGAACAATGATGCGTCATTAGCGAGCAGAAGATGATCTCTCAACAGCTAGCCAGTATAAATGTCAAGCTAGATAAGATGCAAGTCTCAATAGCTCAAGTTAATTTACTTAACTGTGAGTACTGCAAAGGGGAGCATGAGACTAATGAGTGCCCTACACTCATGGGAGCTGAGCCGTTCCAGGTCAATGAAGTTTGGTATGATCCAAGGCCACCACAGAATATCCAAAATTTTCAGAGGAATCAGAATGGTGCTCAAGGAAGCAATTTTCAAAGGAGAAGTCAAGGTGGAGGGTTGGATTATAAATCCAACAATTATCTGAAACCTCTTCCTCTTCCATATAAGGAGCCATCTGAGTTAGAGAAAGCAATGCTGCAACTCTCTAAGACCACCAATGATCACATCCAGAATACTGATGCCTTCGTGAATGAAACAAGAGCCTACCATAAGAACCAAGATGTTTCCATCCGGAACTTGGAGACTCAAATTGGCCAACTTTCAAGACAACTAGTTGAGAGGAGTCAAGAAAGGAGAAATGCAGTGTCAAAGGAGCAATGCAATGTCATCACTACAAGGAATGAGGATCTAGAAAATGAGAAAGTTGAAGTTTCTACAAGAAAGGATGAACAAGCTCAAAAGGATAAAGAAGAAGCAAATGAACAACCTCCTGCAGTTCAAAAGAAACAATGAGATTTCTCACGTTTTGAGAAACCTCTATATCCAATGAGGCCCAAGCACAATGAGTAAAGGAAGCAATTTTCTAAATTTTTAGATATTTTTAAGAAATTGCAGATTAATATTCCTTTTGCAGAAACTCTGGAGCAAATGCCTTCATATGCCAAATTCCTGAAGAAAACATTATCTAAGAAGAGGAAGCTCACAGAGGATGAACCGATTACAGTAACAGAGGAGTGCAATGCAATCGTACAGAAAAACATGCCTCCAAAGTTGAAGGATCCTGGAAGCTTTAGTATTCCATACACAATTGGCAAAACAACTATAGAGAGAGTCTTATGCGATCTTGGTGCCAGCATTAATGTGATGCCATTAACCCTGATGAAGAAGCTGAGGATTAATGAAGTGAAGCCAACCAGGATGAATGTTCAACTGGCCGTCCGCTCAACAAAGCAAGCACATAGTATTGTGGAAGATGTGCTAGTCAAGGTAGACAAATTTCTAATTCCTGTCGATTTTGTTATTCTTGACATTGATGAAGATGCCAGTGTGCCTATGATCTTCGGGAGGCCATTCTTAGCAACCTTAGTAGCATTAATCGATGTACCTAAGGGTGAGTTGATAATGCGCGTGGATGGAGAGCAAGCAATATTCAAGGTACCTATAAATGAAGCTCCTCCATTGCCTACCTCTCAATCTAAGAATCAAGTGAACTACATTGCTGAGAAAAAAGTTGAGGAAGGGAACAAGAAGGAATTCCATGAGCGGCATGACGAACACAAGCCAAATGTTAAGATGGAAAAGCCCAAGAGCAAGAAAAAGCATGTGAAAACTAAGTTTAAAGTTTCTGAAAGCCCTCCTCCTCATCCACATGCATATGAGTATAACCATGTCAGGACACAAATTCTGAGCAAGGGTATGGTGTCATCATTGAGCCTGAGTTACCAACCACCATGATCACATAGGGTACGTCAGGCTTGTGACGTTAAACAAGCGCTGATTGGGAGGCAACCCAATATTTTTTGAGTCATTTTGTTATTTAATTATGTTAAAGTCATTTAGACATCTTTAGTGTTTTGGGTTGTAATTCTCCAATACATTGGTCATGATATTTTCTGTTTGATATTTCACGTGTGTGTTTTAGTTGCGCAGCAGTTACTTTCTTTGACTAGTTTAAGTTATTGCTGAGGACAACAACATCTAACTCTGGGAATTGTTTTGGGACCGCATACGCGTTATCTGAGGTATCACATATAGAGGAACAATAGAAAATAAGAGAATTCATGTCTACTTCAGGGGAGTTATTTTAACCCTTCCAGTTTATTTTTTTGTTTAGTAGTGAATTTTTTTTAGAATTAGTGATAATTGATATATGAAAGCAGTTCAGATTTAGATGTGCCACTCAGTCAATTCCTTGGTTGAAAATAAGAAAGTGTTGCATGATATTATTGTCATGGCATTGCATAGAGCATGAATAGAGACTATGATTGTTCATTTGTTTGATTTCTATGTTAATAATGGATAATGATGCTTGAAATGAAATTAGGAAGAGTCTAGTTTGATACCACAGCTGGTGAGGTTTGAGCCTATAGAGTAAATTTTTTTTGAGAGAGTCCTCACTGCTGTAGTACTCTAGAACTTGATCTAATTCTCTCCAATGCATGTGTTGATTGAAGTGATAAAGGCATTTTATTCTACTAGCTTACGGCCAAATAGCCTCCTGAAAATTCATCCATTGCTAGCCTTGTTGAGCCTGAAACTATTTTTGTTCAATTACCTGATTAAACTGTTTAGACCACTTCCATCAGAACTTACCTTGATTGAGATTGAAATGTCAATAATCAAAAGTTAGAAGTGATTGAGGTAAGCTCCACTAGAAGTTAAGCAGTTGAAAAGGAAAAGAAAAGAAAAATAGCCCTCAAATGAATTCAAAGAGGAAAGAAAAATACATTGAAAAATTAAAAAGCAATGATGAAGAAAAGATGAGAAAAAAGATGAATCATGAATTCATGTAAATAGTGGAGCTGAAACCTAAATTGAGATATGATTGAGTTTTAATGAAAATGATGTTTAAATCTCATTGATTATTCAGTTACTTCCCAAATGATTCTAATCTTAAGCCAATCCAAGTTATAACCTTGAGAAGCCCTTTTGATCAATCATGCATGTGTTGATGTTCCTCATCTTCAGGAACTTGAGAAAAAGATCAAGCTTATGGTAGTGCAACAGAAGTGATGGAATGAGTGATGATGAATACCCCCAAACATTGAGTGATGAGTGAATATTATGTCTTGTGAGGGGTAATCAAGTTAGACTCTGATATTTGAATGTAGTTGATAAGCATCATCTTAAGTTTTGATTTGGAAATCGTTCATGCTTAGTATAGTAATATTTATGATTGTTTGTGCAATGCTATGCTTGATTAATTGAACCTTGCTTCCCGTGTTTTAATTTTGTTTATTGCTGAGGACAGCAACATCTAAATCTGGGAATTGTTTGATGTGCGTCTAGCATATCATGCTTTCTAACTTAAAAGAAGTAAGAAATTAATCATAAATGTGTGAAAATAAGTCATAAATGCAAGAGATATTAATTATTCCTTCTCAATCATTCTCTCACTTAATTTATGTGTTTTAATAGCAGGAAACACCAAAAAAGAAGTGAAGGAGAGAAATGCAGTTTTCCCAACTGGCGCACTTTGTGCAGGACTTAGCGCAAAGTGCGCCATTTGATCAAATTCATCCCTGTATCCTGGCGCACAGTGCGCTGGATGTGGCGCACAATGCGCGGGCTTGGCGCACTTTGCGTGGGACCTGACACAAAGTGTGCCATTTGATAGCTTTCCCTCTGTTTTCTCATGCAAAATGCGCCAGAGTTGGCGCAAAGTGCGTGGGCGATACTTTTCAATTTTAATCTGATGCAAATTACTCAAAAATGAGGCATAATTAGAGAGCAATTGAAAGTAGGTTTTCTCAAAACCTAATAAAAGGATCAAAAACAGAGGAAGGAAGGACTTTTTGACAACAAGGAAGAGAAAAACAACAAAGAAAGGGAGAATTCTTGGGAGCTTCTTGGAGTTTCAAAGATTCGAACGATCAAGACGAAAGATCTTCATCTTCTTTCTCTTTTTTAGGTTCTGAATTTTATTTTCTTTTATGATTATTTTGTCAGACATGAATATGTCTGGCTAGTTTCATTATTGTGGTAAAGGTCACAACCCTTGATGTGAACCCCTTGTAGTTTGGTTGAAGTTTATGTTTATCTATTTAATTGAATTTATCTTGCCTTGTTCTGCATTCTATAATTCTTTTGGAACTGATCAATCTATCAGGATTGCGAGGGTTAGGGTTTTCAATAGGGATATTAGAATTCTAATTCCTGACAAAGGGTAAGACAACTGTTCATGTATGCACTAGGGATAGGCTACATGAATCGCAAACGTTAAAGATTCATTGATTCTACGGGTTAACTTGAAAAGGGATTTATAAGTGATTAGGATTCTAATAGAGTTAATAAGGTTAAAGTCACTAAGGAATTAGGGCTTAACTAATAATAGAAAAGATGATGAATCGTTTGATCAATCGAATAAGTAAACGTAAATGTAATCCAAGTTGCAAGGTGGGGATCGAAAATGTGTTTGTTTCTCTTTACCGCAATATTTTCTCAAACATTTTCTCAACCTTCAATCTTTTATTCTTGAATTCTAAAAGAACCTTGAATCATTTACATTTTCTTGAATTGTTCTCAATTATTTCACAAACCACAATTGTTCTTAAACCATTTTTATTAATGCAACAAGAGAGGAATAGTTGTAATAACTTCGGTGCCTCAATCCTCATGGAGACGATACTCTACTTACCCTTTTATTACTTGGAACGATCGGTACACTTGCCGACTATTCGCAACAGGATCCTATATATATATATGAGAAAAATGTTTCTGTAGTTAATGCAGATAAGTTATCTGCAGTAATTGCAGAAAAAGCGAACCCTATATATATATATATATATATATATATATATATATATATATATAATTTTTAAAAGGAGTGTATATAATTAAACAGAACATGCCTTAGAAATTTTAAAATAACCTTTTGAATCATTATAGGTCTTCAGTTAAATTTT